CTGCTCCAGAAAGTACTTTGGATTTTTTAATCCTACTTTGCCTCATTTACAGTTAAAGGAATTAAGACCCACCGAGGGAAAGGTGCTCACCAAAGGTGACATAGCTAAGAAGGGGAAGAGCTGAGATTTGAACCCAGGTCCTCTGGTTTCAAATCCAATGTTAATATTCTATGATTATGCTTCTTGGATGTTTAGTATCAAATATTTTTAGCACGTGTCTGTGCATGTGTTTTCGTGTGTGTGTGTGTGTGTGCGTGTGTGTGTATCTAGGAGGGATCATGGTGGGCTCACCACTGCCTCTGCATGTAGCTCTTTCTATTTGACTGTATATGTGTAAATGCTGATGCTTAGTTGCTGCCCACCCAACAGTCTGGGAGTGAGTGTGGAGGAATTATTGTTTATCACCCCCTGTTTAGGTGGAAGCTCATTCTCTTTGGTTGCAGAAGCCACAAGTTGTTTTAAAAATAGTACTTGCATCTTTTATTTTTATAATATAATTTTTTTCTGGATATATTCCCGTCATGCCACCCTACCACGTTCCAGAAATGAGCCTTCTCTCATAGCAAAGAGAAACTGTTGTTCAAAACCACGAAATACAGTGATGTGACTGACAGTAGGTAAAAATTTATGGCCTGGTGGTTCCCTACTTCTCTTTCAAGATGAGGGAGGTACATTCATGACCAAGATTGGTTATATAGTTACTCAGAACTTTGGCTTCCTTTGAGCACTATTTTTATTTATATTACTGGAATTATTGTCTGGGCAGCTAGGTGAATAGAATGCCTGGCCTGGAGTCAGGAAGACTCATCTTCCTGAGTTCATATCTGGCCTCAGACACTTACTAGCTGTGTGACCCTGGGCAAGTCACTTAACCCTGTCTGCCTCAGTTTCCTCATTTGTAAAATGGGCTGGAGAAGGAAATGACAAACTATTCCAGTATCTTTGCCAAGAAAACCCCAAATGGGGCCATGAAGAGTCTGAAACAAACACAAACAAATCAGGGTTTGATTTATTTTTCATTATCTAGAGTTCAGAAAATGTTAACAATGCACAGATTAAACTTTTCAACTGTGTGGGTGCTTCTTTTTCAGAGAGCCAATAGTCAGACATTTAAAAGCACACACTTGCTTAGGATTATAGGATCAAAGAAATAGAGCTGGCAAGGACCATAGATGAGTCCAACCCTTATAGTAGAGGAAACTGATACCCATAGAGATTAAATGACTTGACCAGCATGACTGAGGCAGAGTCCAGTACACACTGTGCCATCTAGCTGCCTCCAACATTCCATTTCATCTGTCAGGAAGGCCGGCTCTTTCCCATTTATCTAGATCCTTCAAGAATCAAGCTTACTTGGCTCCAGAGGAGAAAAGAAAACATGACCCTTCCTGCCTTCATTTCAGAGGTAAGGGACTATGGATATAGAATATTGCATATCCTATTAGGCAAGATACTGTGTTCATCAGTTTTGCTGAACTGCTTTTCTTTTCCCTTTCTCTTAAAGTCTTTGGCTAGGAGAAAGCAAAGGAGTATATTCAGAAGGGAATATGATGTAATAATAAAAGGCATTAATAAAAAAAATCAAGTAAGATAAAGTAAAAGGTACAAGTTTAAATCCCCTCACATGCAGAAAGGCCTCCTTAAGAGTAACAAGTTACCTATTTCTTCATACTATGAACCTTGATTGTATTTATTATTATACCAGTCTTGTGACAATTGTGCCCGTTAGGCAGCTGATAAATGCAACACTGAAGCTCAGAAGGGAGACCTTGACTAGATGTAGAGATCTGAGGCTCACTAGTGTAGAGGTGATAGCCTCAACTTTGGGAAAGTATGAGATCACTGGAAAAGAGAAGAGAAGAGAGCCAAGCATCTATCTTTAAAGAATAGGTAGAGAAAGAGGAGATAGCACAGGAGATAGTGGACAAATGAGAAATAAGAGAGAGCAGTGTCATGTAAACCAAAGAAGGAGAGAGTTTCTAGAAAGGGATTATTGTTCAGTGTCCCACACTTTATGACTCTGTATGGGGTTTTCCTGGCAAAGATACTGGAGCGGTTTGCCAGTTTCTTCTCCAGTGGATTAAGACAAACAGAGGTTAAGTGACTTGACAAGGGTCACACAACTAATGAGTGTCTGAGTCTGGATTTGAACTCAGATCTTCCTGACTCCAAACCCAGTGCTCTATCCATTGAGTCACCCAGCTACCTAGAATGGGATGGTGGTCTATAATTCCAGGTGCAATGTTTTGGTTACTACTCGTGTTTCAATATATGATGGCTCTCTAAATCATTTTTCTGGAATTAACATAGAATAAGATCATAATATTCTAATCAATGTAATCAGAGCTATTTAGAAAAGTGTATGAGTCAAGATTATTTTTGGAGAGAGAGGGGTGGGCAACTGCTGACAATCTCAAGGGAAGTAATGGATTGGATGTTAAACTTACCAAATACATGGTGTTTCTAATATCTACCATTTATATAGCACCTTAAAGTTTACAAAATGTTTTACAGTTATTATCTCCTATTATCCTCATAACAGCTCTGGGAGGACTGAGAGGGAGATGCTATTATTATCCCCATTTTACAGTTAAGAAAGCTGAGGTTGAGAGAGGTTGTCTTGCCCAGGGTCACACAACTAGTAAGTGTCTGAGGCTGGGTTTTAACTCAGGTCTTCCTGATTCTAGGCCAGTACACAGTCCACTGTACTACCTAGCTGCATCTAGATTCAAAGAAACAAGAGATTTATATGAATTGATAACAAGCAGAACTAGAAAAATACTTTAGACAACAATTTTTGTGGTTGGGGTTTCATTAGTGTCCAACTCTTCTACTCTATCTACTGTGCCACCTAGCTGCAATGTGCCACTTAGATGGCCTGGTTTGTAGTGTTTACCAGTTTCTGAGGTGTTAATATTTACACTGGCTCCAACACACCCCATCCTATGTACAAAGGCTTATGATGGAAAGGGCAAAGGAGACAGTAAATAAACCTATTTGGCTGAAGCAAAGGGATATCATAGAAAATCTCTAGTAATTAGGATTGTACAACAATGCAGCTAACTACCCTAAGGTAGTGAGCTTCCCATCATTAGAAGAGCACATAGGAATAAAGAATTCAGAACTAGAAGGGATCTTAGAAACCTTAGCCCATCTCATCATTTTGAATACAAACAAACTGGGGAACCAGACAGAGAAAGTAACTTGTCCAAGATTTCAAAGGCAGAAAGTGGCAGATGGAGAATCCCAAACTTAGGGAGTCTGTATTCTTAGATATTAGCATGGTTACCTCAAGTGAAGACTAAATGACTACCTCTCAGGAATGTTGTAAAAGGCATTCTTGTGTGGGTGCGCATTTGGACTCAGTGACCTTTAAGGTGACCTCTAGTTCCATGACAATGATTCTATGGGCAGTAGGAGATAACTTTGGAAAGGTAGGTTGAGGCTGTATTGTGGAGAGTTTTAATTATCAGGCTAAAGAATTTGGACTTTTTCAGTTGGTAATGGGGAGCCAACGAAAGTGTTTGAACAGGATTGTGACATAATGGAAGTGATGTCTTATGAAGATTATTCTGGTAGCATGAGCTGTGATTATCTCCAATTTATTCCGTATATATCTTGTTTGCATATAGTAGATTTCACATTGTTTCCACCAACTGACTGTGAGATTCTTGAGAGCAGGGACTGTTTTTGTTTGTCTTTGCTTTTGGTCTTTCTTTGTATCCCCAGCACTTAGCACAGTGCCAGGCAAATAACAGGAGCTTAATAAATGCTTATTGACTTGTTGACTTAACTAGAAGTATTGAGATTAGTTAGGAAATATTGAAATAGTGCCCATGTGGGGAATTTGAACTAGAGTGGTAGGCATGGGAATGGAAAAGATGGGATGCCTAGAAGGGACATTGTGAAGGAAGAATTGAAAGAATTTGATGACTGAGCAGAGTGTGGGTGGTAGATGAGGGAGAGGAGGAGTCAAAGATGACTCAGATTTTCCCACTTGGGTGACAGAAGGATGGTCAAGATGGGAGATCTGCTTTTAGAGAGGAGGTGAACACAAAGGAAGCCAACAACAAACACCACAAAGGAGTCTATATGTAATTAAGTGCTGAATTATGTGGTGGAAAAACAGATTAGTGTCTTGGAAAGAACACTTAGCTATTAGTCAAAAAACAGGTTCTGGTCTTGGTTTCTCTACTAACTAGCAGTGTGATATTGAACAAATTATTTCCCCTTTCTGGGACTCAGTTTCCTCCTCTCTAAAATGATAGCATAGAACCTATATCCTCTCCAAGGTTCCTTGCAGTTTGTAGATGTTCTGACCCAATAACGAGTTAGGTAGTATATAGCAGGACATCCAGGTGGAAATGATTAGCAGGCAGTTGAACCTTGGTCTTCCTGGAGTAGATAAAATTTTAATTGAGCTTGAAGGATGGGAAGCATTGAGATACTGAGGGTGAGGGTTTGGGTTAGGGAGATAGAATTTCCAGCTTAGTGTGTGAGGTTTTATTTGAAACGATGTGCATTTCTTTTTTTTAAATTAAAAAAAATTAAGTCCACCAGCCCTGGAGTCAGGAGGACCTGAATTTTAAATGTGGCCTCAGATACTTAGTAGCAAGTCACTTAATTTTAGACAGGTTAATTAGAGATTATTAATTATTAATTAGAGATTGCCTCCCCCTTCCAAAAAAAAAATCATTGGCTAAGATCATATAGCCAGTAAATGGCAGAGTTGGGCCAAGTTTTTACCTGCCAGTTCCATACTTTTTACACCAAGCGCCTTGCTCCTCCAGTTCCTGCAGCTGTATTATTTTAAAGCTGGACATTCCTTTTGTATGACCCTTCGTTAAGGACACAGAAGGTAGGAGATTCAAGGGTCGCATCGTAGGAATTTGCAGCTAGAAGGGAGCGTAGAGACCAGGCAGTCCCACCTCCTCCTTCTTAGGAGAGGAAAGTGGGACTAAGAGAAGTGACTGGCTGCCACACAGTAGTAAGAAGAGTTAGCCTTCAAACTCCGCTTCTCTGACTCCAGACTCTGGACTAGTTCCCTTCCTCTCACAGCGACTGGGGAGGAGGCGGCTGCGGCAGCCTCAGCAGCAGCAGCAGCAGCCTAAACCTCTCTCAGACTTGGCTCCCAGCAGTGAGCTTGTCTTGTGCTTTGCTGAATTTCACCAGAAGAGGGTACAGTTTTGAAAGCTCTTGACGTCAACCTGGAATTCCTATTCTGTTTAGAAACAGCATTGGAAAAACAAACCCCTCTGATCAAGTTCTCCCTCTGAACACTTCCACTTACTGTTCCATAGGCATCCACAAGTCAGCTCAGGAGGATCTCGAGGCAGCAGCCCCAGCCAGCAGCTCTGGAGCTGCATGCGAGGGCAATGGGGATGACAGCCCCTCAGTGAGGAGGGTTTGGATCATCTGACCCATTGAAGCCTGCTGATGACTCCTCTTTCTGTTAATCTGTGCAAAAGACAACTGGCAGTGCTTCTGAGTCCATGAAGAGACATCACTTCAGGAAGAAAAAAAACAGGACCTCAAAAATCAGGAGCACCCACGAAGGAGGTGAGTTTCCTTTGCTGCTTTCCTCCATCTGAATCAAACAAAAGTGGCCTTTCCAGGCTCAAGTTTCCCCTTGACTCCCTCCCTCCCACGCTCCCTCTAGCAGCCTAGTCTTTCCCCAGCAGCCTGTTCATACCTTGTAAGCTTTGACAGATTGTAAATGCCTGCCCGGAGTCTTCCTGCTACCCCAGAGGAGTCATTCAGAGTTTCACTATATGATCCCTGACTTGTGCTTTCATTTGTCTTCCCAGAGACGGCAGTCTGGTGAGGGCTGGGTGGAAGCAGGGAGCAGCCAAGACGGCAGGATGAATGTAGCAGGGGATTCCAGCCTGTTGGAGCTGGACAGTAACGGGTCAGAAAACACTGAAGACATAGAGATTGTGGTCAATGTCGGAGGAGTGAGGCAGGTCCTGTACGGAGACCTGCTGAGCCAGTATCCAGAAACCCGGCTGGCTGAATTAATCAACTGTTTGGCTGGGGGTTATGATACTATTTTCTCTCTGTGTGATGATTATGACCCGGGAAAGAGAGAATTTTACTTTGACCGGGACCCTGATGCCTTCAAATGTGTTATCGAGGTCTATTACTTTGGGGAGGTTCACATGAAAAAGGGGATCTGCCCCATTTGCTTCAAGAATGAAATGGAGTTTTGGAAAGTGGACCTCAAGTTCCTGGATGATTGTTGTAAGAGTCACCTGAGTGAGAAACGAGAAGAGCTGGAGGAAATCGCCCGAAGGGTCCAGTTGATCCTGGATGATTTGGGAATGGATGCCTCAGAAAATCGCTGGAAAAGGTGCCAAAAATGTATTTGGAAATTCATGGAGAAGCCAGAGTCCTCCTGCCCAGCCCGGATCGTGGCCATCCTGTCTTTTCTCTTGATATTGATCTCATCAGTGGTCATGTGCATGGGGACCATCCCAGAGCTTCAGATTTTAGATGATGAGGGGAACCATGTGGAACATCCCACGCTGGACAACATTGAGACTGCCTGCATTGGCTGGTTCACACTAGAGTATGTCCTTCGGCTCATCTCGTCTCCCAACAAACTCCATTTTGCTTTGTCCTTCATGAATATCATTGATGTCTTGGCCATCCTACCCTTCTATGTCAGTCTGACTCTGACCCACTTTGGGGCCCGGATGATGGAGTTGACCAATGTGCAACAGGCAGTCCAAGCCTTGCGTATCATGAGGATAGCAAGGATCTTCAAACTGGCTCGTCACTCTTCCGGGCTGCAGACTTTGACCTATGCTCTGAAACGGAGCTTTAAGGAGCTTGGGCTACTCCTGATGTATCTGGCTGTTGGGATTTTTGTCTTTTCTGCCCTTGGCTATACTATGGAGCAGAGCCACCCAGAGACACTCTTTAAAAGCATCCCCCAATCCTTCTGGTGGGCCATTATCACCATGACGACAGTGGGGTATGGGGACATCTACCCCAAGACCACTCTAGGCAAGCTGAATGCTGCTATCAGCTTCCTCTGTGGGGTCATTGCCATTGCCCTTCCCATTCACCCCATCATTAACAACTTTGTCAGGTATTACAACAAGCAGAGGGTGTTAGAGACAGCAGCCAAACATGAGCTGGAGCTGATGGAACTCAACTCCAGTGAAGGGAGAGCTGGGGGCTCCCGGGGTGACCTGGACAATCTCCAGCCACAGCAGGAAGGGAAGGAGGTCCCTTTGTGGAGCAGCAGGCTAAAGATTTCCCACAGTGACACCTTCATCCCCCTCCTGTCAGATGAGAAACATTATAGGACCCGGCTTCAGAGCTGCAAGTGAACAGCAAGGATCGGGGCGGGGCTCTAGCTCTCCCATGTGGACACAAGACTGATGAGCTGCTACCAAGGATATTGCAGGAATTGTCATTTGGGTGCCTGAAAGCTGTTCTCTCTTCCTTCCATTCCCTTTCCTTTCCCTCTTCCTCCACCTGAATACAAATCTTAATTACTTCTGGGCCCCATTTGGGTAAGACTTTGTTTTTATTACCTGCCAATAGATCATGAAAGATCAAGGTCTAAGAGGTGATTAGAAAGCCAGCTCATCCCTGATGAGAAAATGAGGTGTGTTAGTTACACATCAGGCAATAGCTGTGACATAATCTGGGTGTGTCATTTGACCAACTCTGAGTTCTGTATCTGGTCTAATAAAACCTCCAACTCTATATACCACAAACCTGTGTTTTGGGTTCTGTCCCTGGACTTTTACCCACAAAAGACATTGCTTGGTTCAAATACCAAAGCTGACTGTCATCCCTGAGTTGTGTGCAGTAGGTGTGGAGCCAGGGGGTGGGGGAATATTTTTAGTCCAGATCTAATTAAAGATGTGAGCACACACTGTAGGGATATGTCAAGTTAAGGAGGTTTGCCACATTCCAGACAGCTCCATATGGATAGTAGCAGAAAGAATGCTGGACTTGAAGACCTGGGTCCATATCCCGGCTCTCCCATTGATTAGCTGTGTATAAGCCATTTTCCTTCTCTGTACCTGGTTTTCTCACCCAAACATATATTTTTTGAAGTCAGAATGCCTGGGTTTGAATTCCAACTTTGCCTTTTAGTCAAGCACTTAACTTTTTTGCACCGAAGTTTCCTCATCTATAACATGAGGTGCTGTTTGAGATCAGGGGTTCTTAATCTGGGGTCTGGGAACTTTGTTTTTTATTTTTATAACTGTATTTCAATACAATTAGTTTCTTTCATAATCCTATGTATTTTATTTTATGAATTTAAAAATCTTATTCTAAAGAGGGTACTGTGGGCTTCACCAGCCTGCTAAGAGGGTCCATGACACAAAAAAAGTTAAAAACCTCTAGCCTAGGCATCCCTGATGGTGTCTTCTAATTCTGAATTTATGATTCCTTGATGAGGGAGGCAATGAGGTGTGCTGGAGAGAACACAGAATTTGGGGTCAGAAGAAATGCACTTCAATCTTGGCTCTGTGAGTTCTGGGTCAAGGGACTGCTCCTCTCTGAGTCGCATTTTCCTCAGCTGCAAAGTGATGGGGTTGGACTAGATAATTGCTCTGGTTCTTTCCAGCTCTAAGATCAGATAATCCTAAAAGAAGGGGTGTTGGATTAGACAATTGCTAAAAACCCTTCTAGCTTTAGGATTCAATTCTAATATGGGCACAATTTTGTTGTTTTCAAAAATCCCATTTCCTTCTCAATATAAAGCATTGTTTAAGGTAGCTCTCTGAATCATCTTTGTACAGAGATGAGTGTGTGGAAACCAGTAAGGGAAACACTGGAATTTCTGGAGAATGCTAGAATTGTTAGGGGTGGGGTAGGGGTCAGCTGATACTTCTTACGAGCTAATCATATTATATTCTCCTCTTACTGTCTATGGTTGTTATGTTGCAGGGGATTTGAAATGATTGGCCAAATGGAGAAGCTAAAATAAATACAAATTATCTATTATAATAGGGTGAGCCAGAATATTCGTTCATTGGTCTGGGGTGTTTTGCTGCCTTCCTCTCCAAGCTGAGGTTTTCAGCCCAAATTCACACTTTCCACAACTCCATTAAAGGCCAATTTGCTAACGCTGGCTCCTTGCTCTGTAGGCACAGTTATGAACAAGTGCCTCCGATGGAATCTTAAGGATGATCCATGAATCTTTTGGTTCTTTTGGATGGAAAAATGTCAGTGAAAGAAGAAGGCACTTGATGCCCCTGGGCTCTGGGGGAGTTGGTGTGGTCTTGGCTCTGGGAGTCTAGGATACCTTTTAGCTTTTGAGGATGGGGTTTGCCATTGTGAGGCATCTAGGTGGTTCAGTGGCTAGAACCTTGGGCCTGGAGTCAGGAAGACCTGAGTTTAAATCTGGCCTAAGACACTAGCTGGGTGATCCTGGGCAAGTCACTTAATCTCTGTTTGCCTTAATCCATTGGAGAAAGAAGTGGCAAACCTCTCTGTTATGTTTGCCAAGAAAACCCCGTGGATAGTATGGTCAAGAAGAGGTGGACATAACTAAATAACAACAATAATCGCAATTGTGACTAGAAGGACCAGGGCAGGTTAAATCATTAATGATGTTGGACCATGGAAGAGGAGCCCATATTAGGAGAGTAGTTTCCTGAGGCCTGTGCCAGGGGTTGCCACTGGCCAGGCTTTATGTAGAGGCAGGGAAGGCATCCCCATCACCCAAAACATAGCAAGCTAACTCAGCTGGCATGGGACCTGGATCTGCGGCCAGAATGCTTCCCTCAAGGGTCTGTAGTGCTGCTTTGAGGTTTTGGATTTGGACCCAGAAAAGTGGGGATCACATCCTTGCTCTGCTATGTGGGTAAAACCATTTACCTTCTCTGGGCCTCAACTTTCTCATTCGTAAATAAAAGAATAGATGATAAGCTCTAAGGCTCATTACAGCTCTGAAGTCTGTACTCTTTCCCCCCTTTCTTCTAAATAGCAATAGTAATAACAATAGCTAATATTTTTATAGTGCCTTAAGGTTTGAAAAGCACTTTACATATGTTATCTCATTTATCCTGACTACAACTGGTGAGGTAGCTGCTAATTATTAACCCCATTTTACAGACTGACTCTACTGTCGTTCAGTCATTTTCAGTTGTGTCCAACTCTTCATGACCTCATTTGGGGTTTTCCTGGCAAAGATACTGAGTAGTTTGCCATTTCCTCTCCCAGCTCATTTTACAGATAAGGAAACTGAGGCAAACAGGGTGAAGTGACTTGCCCAGGGTCACGCAGGTAGTAAATGTCTGAGGTCAGATTTGAACTCAGGAAGATGAGTCTTCCTGACTCCAGGCCTGGCACTCTATCTACTTTGTCTATCTACTTTGCTGCTCCCTGACTGTACTACTTATTAGCTATATTACCATGGTTAAATCAGTTTCCCCTTTTTGATCGGCAGCTTCTTTGCTTATAAAATGAGAGGGTAGCCAAGGAGGCTGAATGATCTTCAAAGTGCCTGTCAGCTCTAAATACTATGATACCTAGAGTGCTTCAGGCCTCCAATTGTCCTCATGAGTCCCCTCTGCCTTCCTGCTTCCCCCTACTCCACGATATTTCTGTATCCATGAACTGTGTTTAAAACACCATGAGGGGAAAGGATTGTAGATGTGGGTGTGGAAAGGGGAAGAGTCGCTTGCCTTGCTCTGCTGACAGGAAGTAGGGGTGGTGGTGTTACATGCTGACAGTAATTGTATTTGTTAATTGTATTTTCTTATATTGTGCTGCTTCCTTTCCTTCCCACCCTGAGTCACTGGGCATCTTCAGCAGCCTGGCCTCCAGAGAAATGGGTATGTGTGTGTATGATTCTATGGTTCCAGGGGTGAGCAGCCTGTTTGTAACACCCTCAGGGCACCTCAGGTCAAAGCACTGAAATGATGAACTCTAAGACCCAGCTGTGTGGTTAAAGCCAGCAGAGTTAGGGAGCCAGAGAGGCGATGTAATGTAGCAGAAAGAGCACTGAACACGGAGTCAGAGACTCTGGGTTTAAGTGACTTATCAGCTTTGTCAAGTCACTTCATCTTTCCTTCCCTCAGTTTTCCTTATCTGTAAATGGGAATCATTGAGGCAGCTACAGCACAGTGGATAAAGCACCCGCCCTGGAGTCAGGAGGACCTGAGTTCAAATCTGGCCTCATACATATAACACTATCTGTGTGATGCTGGGCAAGTTACATAACCCCATTGCCTAGTCATTCCTATTTACCTCACAGAGTTGTTGGGAAGAAAACACTTGGTGACCTATACAAATGGTGTCAAAATATGACCCTTCATTATTAGAGAGAGACTGTAGAATTTCCTTCTCTGGTGATCTTTTGAAACAGGGATCATGGTTTTCCTCAAGTCTTCAGATTTGTAGATTAGGATGTAGCAAGGCCACTGAGGGACGTTAGAGGTGTGTATCTGACTGCTACGAGGGATTTTTCTCCTGAGCCAGCACCAAGTAAGTCACCATAGGCAGGGCCTGACCAGAGATCAGGCCTAGTGGGTTCCCTTACAGAGAAGGTTTAGAAGAACTGGTAGGTTCCTGGGCTGCAGGATTTGGTGGGTACCATAGAGGCCTTTCTAAATATGGTGTCTGTGGCCCCTTGACTGTGAGGCAGATAAGCTGATTTCTAGTTCTCATTCTGAAGTGTGGTACAGTGGAAAATGTGCTCTGTCTAGAGTCAGAGTACCTAGTTTCAAATCCTGTGATAGTCCCCAAGATGAAAGTCCCTCTAATAGGGTCAGTATAGGAAGAGGGGGACTGGCAGTAAATGATGGTGTTTTCAAGGGAAAGAGGATTGGTTAAGAGATAGAGATGTTGTGGAAGAGGCCACAGGGCTGGGGTCCGAGACTTTATCCTCCTTTCTGATTTGACTCCTGTTTTCTATGCTGGGGCTAGTAGTGTTTTGACCAGAGATCATAAAGATTCAGAACTAAGATCACTAAGATAATAGCTCTGAGTTCAATTCTTTTATTTACAGGGAGGGAAACTGAAACCCAGACAAGCTAACTTGTTCAGGGTCACATAGGTAGTATATACCTGTAGTAGGTACAGTACTAAAACTATACTGAGGGCATTAGATTCCTCCTAGTCTAATGTACTTGAGGATATGTTAATTATTGATAAAGTTTTTAATATCAGATCATGGCTTAATGTGCTCTATTTTCCAGGTAATATTTGATTCAACTCCACAAATATTTAGTAATGAATCATCTGTTGTGTACAAAGAGATGTTCTGCCCCCTGCAAGAAAATGAAGCTACAATGTTTTAAAGTTGAGGAACATTGTGGAAGAGTGGGCAGTGACGGTCAGAACAACCTGGGCTCAAGTCCTCGCTTGGACACATACTAGCTGTGTGACTCTGGCCAAAGCATCTCTTTCAGTTCAAGCCCCAGCTCATATGTACAACAATGAAGTCACAGGTCTGGACCAAAAAAAAAAGGTTTTAGCAGAGGTCTTCAATAGTTTAGCTTAATTCAGTATATTTAATAATACAATTTCAGATGGACAGGGAATAGAGGAGTGGAGGCAAGGGAGTCCTAGAACCCTAAAACCTCAGGATTAGAACAAACTTCTGTAAATAATTTAATACAGTCTTCTAGTTGATATATGAATCCTACATAGCATCTTGTGGTGGCCTTCAAATAGGGTCATGGGGCGGTTGCCTATGCCACCTGTGCTCAGGTCTGCTCCTGGCTCCTGGCTCCCCTCAGCAACAGGAACCGTC